TTCGCGTATAGCTCTGTTTAATAGTAAACACATTGAATTACTTGCAGATGAGCTTCATATAAATTAATTCATACCTCCTTACTCGACGATTTCCGCTTGCTGACAAGTCTCTCCACTTGATATAATTTCGCCCCGGGTTTATAATTTCTTTTGCATGTAGAAAAAGGTTCAAAATCCGCCGAAGAAAGATTATTCAGAGCAACATAATTTACGCATTCTGCGCTTCGAACCGCTCTTCCCATAGTCTCTCACGTAATCCGATACCTCCGGGCATGCTCCTTTCAACTAAGAGTACACCGCATTCAGAAAGTATCGTGTGAACAAAATGACTCCGATTTCTGGTGGCATCGTAAGAGGATAAGAAGATTTGAGTATCATCCGCATACATCAATGGTGTGGTTGATCTTAAACACTCAGGTAGGTCATTAATATATAATAAGAACAACAATGGACCCAAGATTGAGCCCTGGGGCACTCAGCCATTTTCCAAACTACACGAAGGCGAACCTGTGCAATTGAAACAGGGACGGGAATGGACACCCTCAGTATTCATCTGACAACCCGGCCAGACTCCTCGTTCGTACATTGTAGTGACCCCTGATGGAACTCCAGATGCGTCGAGACCGCTTCGATCTTCAACCAACCAAGGAGGAGGCATCTCCAGTCCCCATCCCAATTAGCAAGCCTAGCATGGGTAGCAGGAGGAAGTGATGAGTCAAATTCTTGTATGTAACCAAGCACTGATGCTGGTATCGAAACGCTAGAGATGGAATCACAGCCCGATATCTTGCAAGAGTATCAATCCGTCAGAAGAGGTCTACGTGTTTCCAGACCACCACAGAGTCTCATTGAAACTGCATGGTGATGCTGCCAAGCTGACCACAAGTTTAAGCTAAAAGAACCTTTGGGTGATTTTGTAGTCGTTCACACTCGGAACCCTTTCGACTGTTAGAACCTTGTTTATTTATTAGAATTTTGTTTATGTTCCAACTTTTAAGAAGAGAAGTCGCGTTGGGACGTTATGCGTGACAGGCGTGCTCTTTAACACTATTACATAACGGCTCGCCCGTGCTTCGTTTCGGGACTCGGATCTTTTGACATTTATTACTGCGAAGATCGCTTCGACATTCATTTCTTAACCCGCAGTTTGCATGTATAACTTTTATATATTCACACTCATGTGCCGATTTTAGTTAGGCAAAATGATGACCATTTTTCCTTTGTTACTGAAAGGGAAAAACCTGAGGGAACTGACCAGCTTGGCTTAAGGGATGTCTTTTGAAGACGTTCTGCAAGTTGCTGTAGTTTGATCGAAATTCCTCCGAGTAAAGGGTTCTCCAATGACTGTTCCATAACTCTCGTCAGAACCCTTCTCAGACACAAACCTTGGTTATTTCGAACATTAAGGGAGGGTAGAGAGAAACAATTTAAACATAATCTAAACCACAATCTGTTGTTATTGATATGATTTGTCATCAAGGACGTCTCAAAATCAGCAGCAGGTGTTTCTTTTGTTGTTGGGAAAGTCACGCTTCTTGTGACAAATCTTTGGGAAAGATGCAAATTTCTTAACATTGTCACGGTCTGTAGGATTAATAGATCACTGCGTCCAGCGTAGGTTTCGGTTATTGGTTTGCTTCGTTGCAAACGTGCGTATTCCTTCACAACTTCGTTGTGCGAGTTCTTTCTTTAAGTATGCGGGTGAGACAGCGGTATCAGCTGAGAACATGCAGCAGTAGGGTAAGATAGATGGGGTTTACATCTTGGCAAAATACAGCCGATTCAATCGAGACAGTCATGGTAGTGTAAAATGTAAATAATAGAGTTCCATTAGGAGCTTTTCGGACTTGTCATTCAAAAATGCATGTTTTAAACTGTTCTGCAACTTCGTCCGAGGTCTAATCGACCTTAATGATTGTCCTACTAGTGAGACGGTTAGGTTGATATTTAACATATCATGCCATAAACGATAGAAGTTACTTATTGTTGTCATCAACACAGAACTTCACTACAGTCATGGCGGCTTAAATTTTCTGCATGGATTGTGATTTGTTTTCAAGTTTTAATGCGTTCCTTAACTAAGGAATGTAATGTAAACGCAGTTACTTTATAAATGCACACGTTAAACGCTGGTGACAATTCGATAAAATCCCTTTAACACGGCGTGCTGATGCAACCTTAATCAAATTTTAATCTTGTAAATTGAAACGATGTTTTCGCCTCGTTGGCCAAAATGACGCCAAGGTTCCCATCCAACTGCACACAAATTTTAATAGTTAAACCTAGATCCCTCCGAAACCATGTTTATAACTTGTAGAGGAAGAAATTGGTGTAATTGATGAGGGCAAAACGTAACAACTACAGAATTTCTGTATGAATACATTGTGTGAGTCAAGTTAAGTCAAATTTACATAAATTGCAGTCAAAACAGTATGTGGACTGACTTCATAGAACGGCAAAATGTAAGAGCGACACTAATGCTATTCTTCAAATGAAGTGTTTGATGATTTAAATACCTTAAAAAATGAAATAACCTGAATTTTTTATTTTCTTGCCAGGTGGTCGCGTGATCTGTGTTGAATAAACAAACTTCTAATTTGTGACGCTCCTACTCTGACAATTTTATAAGAAGCGCAAGATCGGTGCCCAGTAATGCTTCAATATCGGAAATTGATTTTAATAGAGTTCCCAGAGACCGATTTGGTTGACACCATTTGGTTGACAGCTTCAAGCTTGTGATCTCCAATACTTTCCTCGTCCGGCTCATATTTGTACAAACTTGCGTATGCAATTCTGAGTTCATCAATAACATTTATTTCTGCCGTTGAAATTTCGCTTTCAATTCAAAATCAGTTCTGAATTTCTGGGAGAAAAAAAAATCAGAGAGAAAAAGATAAACAGAGAAATATCTTTTTAAAAGATCGATGAATACAGGTGTGATGAATTTTCTACAAAACGAGTATGACTTGTGTTAGAAATGAAGTAACTGACCAGTTCTTGATCAGCTTGCCAGCTGGCCTGGGGACAAATTCAAGAGGAGTTTCTAAAGTCCAGCCAGCTTTTGATTACCATTCCTAAGAGTTCAAATCTCATTTTTCCGCTTAAAAAAATTTGTCAAATTCCAGTTTTGCCCCTTAGCCTCATCTGCAGAATTCCAATAAGATTTGATCAGATTTTAAATTTTTTCTCACACGAGCTTCGTTCTTATTTCTTATATTGTAGGCTTAATGCTATAAGACCAATCTGCTATCAATCTGAGAGACGAAAGAGTTGAAGATGTTGCCAAGGCCTCGAATTAAAACTAGGGAAGACATTAGGGAGAAGATAGCGTCAACCAGGAAGAAGCTTGGGATTGAGACCGAAACAAGCATAGGAAAAGAACAGAAAGGGCCTGTGGGAAAAGAAGGAGATGTTATGACGAAAAGTCAGCACATAGAGACGCTCTTTCGAATGATCGCCTCAGATATCAAAGATCAGCTCAGGAAGAAGCTAAAGAAGATGACTCAGTTACAGGAAGGTGTTGGAAACATGAGCCTAGAAAGTTGGCCAAAAGAATCAACCGAACAAACACTAGGGAAAACAACAGAGCTTCAAAAGGAAGATGGAGGTAAGATGGAATAATGTTAAGACTAATTTAACGGAAGTTCGTTTAAAACAATTTCATGATGCCAATTAATTGGTTTTCCTGTCTCAGTTCCGAATTTAGAATTTCTGTTTGTAGAAAAAAAACACATTTATTAAACCCAATTTCTAGATTATAATCTAATTTATTTCTGCTCGTAAATAAATTTAGAGACACACTGCATCGAAAAGACAACCCAGATTGATGAGATCGTATGTAGCCAGGAATGATATCAAAATCACCCGAGTCAAGGATAATCAGGAAACACTGTAAATACTTCCTTATTACTAAGTTGAGGTGATTGTTTCCCACGATCCATGGAGATCCGGATACTTTACAGCTAGGGAAAGTAGTTTTTTTCTTCCTCTTTTTGGAGATTGCGATTAAACTCCTGTAGTTGTGCTTTTCTGTCTTGTTTTTTTTATGTTTCTTTCTCCATAATTTTTGTTCACTACAAAAAATTTTAATCTTTTTTAATAATGATATGAACGAAAGTTAAACCAAAACCTTTTAATTTTTTTTAAAGTGAACGTTACACCCTCTGGCAAGTTCTAGAGATTTGTCTATGTTCATCCCCAGCTGGTTCTGTGATGTTAACTCTGCATAGGTTGACAAATCTAATTTTTTTTAACAGTTCGACTACATATCAAATTTGATTACCTCTCAATACCTGGTCTACAAAGAGGTAAAGAAGAAACAACCCTTGAAGAAGGCAAATCTATCCCAGAGAAGGCCCACAGCTTAAAGGAGGACGTGAGAAATCTTAAGAACTTTCAAGGAAGGATGAAAGACCAAGTAGCTGGCCTCTCAAAAATGACTGAAGGTTAGCTAACAACAATCAAGGTGGCTGTTGACACTTGTTTAAAATTTTTTTGGGCCAATGGCATCTCTTCCATAATAACTGCACACAATTACATACATAGGTTAATTGACCACTCCCCATGGGGGCTTTTCAGTCCCACCTATCCCACCCCAGGGGAGGACATCCACCACACAGTAATCTCGTGCGTGGGAAATTAACGTCTCCTACCCCTAACCCTGCAGGAGACGGTGCTTACGGTTTATTCGTCCTCATCCGAGAAGACTAGAATATCTCTCCATTTCTTGCTTATAGAAAGGTAGCAACTTCTCACTTAATACCATGAGTATGGGTCTGGCCGGGGCTCAAACCCTCGACCTCCCGCACAACACAATCCGGCGCTCTAACCAATTGAGCTAACCGGGAGGCAGTAATTGCAAATCACTTTTGACAAATAAATTATACTTTGGTCTGCAATGAACGTCATCACAGAAAAAGAAATCTCAAATAGATATCGAACTTGGACGAGTATTAAACTCGTGCCTTTCAGATGTCAGTTGGTCGCTGCTAATGAGTGAGCCACGAGGTTACATGTTGGAAGCTAGCTGGGTTTTTGTTTGCCAATCTGGCCCCAATTGCTGTACATAAAATCATTCATATATTCTCAGCTCCAAGATGTGGCTTTGACGCATACTCATAATTTTGTTGGGCCTATAGCATCCCTTCCATATGTACAACAAATAATCGCAAAATGTTCTTGACATGCAACTGCTCGCTGGATTGTGCTCGGTTGACCCTTAGTTTAACTCCTGTGCTGTGCGTGGTACATAGCCAACTGATATGCCTCCAGCCAATTGGGATTTTTGAACAGGTTTTATTTACAATGTTTGTTTCAATGTGTATGTATTGACCCTAAAAAGCCCCCCGGGGTAGGTAGTTAATTAATGTTATCGTATTAATCACTCATTATTATTATTATTATTATTATTATTATTATTATTATTTGTATTGTTACTGGAAGCGCATCAATGAATAAACTCTCGCATTCTGACTGGTTAGCGAAGCGAGTTACTTAGCGTGGAATTGCGAGTTGAAAACGAAGCTAAGTGATATTGTTTCGCATCTACGTGAGCATCACAATTATCGTCAAGTTGTAACAAAGTTTTGTTACAATGTCAATTTAAAATGTTACAAAACCACTCTCACCTTTCAAAGAACCAAAAATAAAAAAAGAAGCGTTCCTCAGAGTGAGCCGGAAGTTCTTCCTTGCTTTGAACTGAGCTTCAAATTCTTGGAGAGGCATAAAAAACCTCTTTCGCTCGCGACAACGTGAAAGCGAGAAAATCCTATTAACACGGCCTAGAAAATGACAAGCAAAAGTTAAACCGAGCTGGACGAAGAAGCGACAACGGAACAAGTGCCAAGGTTGATCATCACTTTTACAGAAGAAGTAATTACCTTAAGAGACGACGTGGTCTCAGCAGAAAGGCATTTTGTTTGCGCATGCGCGAGTGGAATTGGCTTGTCGCGTTCTGCGCCATTTATAAAGTTTTCGACGCGTTTCTGCGAGGTTTCAACTGGACGATCGACACCTTTTTGTAATATTTTTGACGATGGATGAAGGAGTCTGACACGTTCACCAACATTTCTAACTCTGAGGATACTCATGGTGTTTGCTGGCTCTTCGGTTGAGGATATTTTAATGGTTAAAGTGCGAAAAAAACGCGAATAAAGCTCGAAAACTTGAGGTTTGAGGTTTGATTTACTGAAGATCAACATGTGCACATGAGACAACAAACCTTGAAGGTTAGTCTTAAAATGTCGATGTTTTATTTTTGTGAATCACAAAGTCGAATTGTATGTGGAGACGATCGTGAGATATTTGATCTGAGGACAGATGGAAATTTAGATTTTGATCTTGTTTTAATTCAACTTCGAAGTAAAATTGCGTTAAGTTTGAGGTGGCCCCCAAACATCAAATCAGTTTAAATCACATCGTCTTTTCGTTGTCTTTACAGTCATTTTAGGACACAAGGCTTTAAAAAATGTTCCAGCTTCAAACCTCGGCGAATTATTTTTCGGGAGGTTTTGGTGGATTTTCCAAGTCATGAACCAAAACCTTCTTTGGCCTCTTTGCTCTCCAAGTCTGTTCTATATGGTAGATAGGCATGTGTCTTAACAACGGTTATGGTCTTACCTCAATCAACTACGGTTTTGGATTATTTTTTTAACTGTGTTTTTGTGGTAATTTTATTATTGCCTTTTCGAGTTTCGTCTGCTAACTAGAGGAAAAACTTCGGTAAAACACATTTATCAATTGGCCTCCAAATCCCTCATTATTGTCAGTAGATTGTTTTAAATTATCTATCTAGTGTTCGGCCTAACTAGTCCATTTACCCCAAAACAATGCGTGAACTTTGTCTCATGAGTAAAACTGGTGCCGTTTTCTTCATGTTCATGTGTTATTCGAAACGAATAGCGTCAGCTGTATTCTGTCCTGTTCATTTCAGGAGAATGCTTTGCTTTGCGAAATAAGTTTTGAGTCGAAGTGCACTATGAATTTCAAAACAGTGTAGTTATATTTCACTTTGCTGTATGTGTCATGATCTTGAAGTTATTTCTCGAGATTGATGATTGGAATAAACTGTTATGTTCTCTTCTGGTTAAGGTAATGTGAAGTGACCCAATAATTGACACTATAGACAGAATGGATGGCTGTGACATTTACTGTAGCTAGCTGTTCTTCAAGAGTTTGTCATTATTCCCAGAAGCTTACTTCTTGTTTAAATTATCAGTCGTTCTCTGTACACAACTTGCCTGGACTAATATCCTACATGGGAGTTATGTCTACTCTATCTGTAATGGTAAAATTACCAATGAAGTTTTGAGAAGTTTTGTCCAGATTTAATTGAAAATGAATGTGAGGAGTGGTCAGTTATATTCCTTAAAAGTGCTTTTAAACACTTAAGGCTTAAAAAAAAGCTTAATAAGCTTAAAAGCTTCCAGGATGAGAGCTAATCAATTTCTTGAGTGATTCATACATGACACAGCCAAACCCCTTAGCAAATGTCTATACATTTCTTTAAATAACAGTCAGGTTGGTCTCCTTTTGACTTCAGTCTTATTCCTCTAAACTCTAATAGGTGTAAATCGTCCATTTTCATAAAGAGGTCTACAAAAATCTCCTCATTATTTTAATCTGACTTCATTCATTTTTGTTCCCAGGGGGTACAAGCCGTGGGAAATAATTTGGTTTTTGTCCTCACTGATACTATCAGCTGTACAGGTTCTCATCAAATTGTCGGTTAACTATTGTAATTTTAATAGGCCGAAGAGTAAGGCTACAAAGGGTGTATCTGATGTTTTTGCGCAGTAAGAAGGATAGATGAAGTTAAATATAATTTTTATTGGGAAAATAATTGAACCTATAGGCAACAGGCTGGTCTTTCTTTTTTTGTACACACGCCTCCAGTTATGGTGCAATTCTCATCTGTTGAGGGTTAGGGGTAGTTTGACCAAAATAAAGTGATTAGAATTTGGTAAAATTTTTCACGTCATAAAGCACATGTGATGATGTTTTCGAGACTGATGATTGAAAAGAACTTTCTTTTCTCTGACGAAATCCATAATTATTCTACCATTTCCTTCAAGTTATGACGACTATATCTCTAGTGCTCACATTATCTTACTTTTCTTAACGCGATAATGACATTTTGTGTTTCAGTAATCGTTCCCGCCGGCTGTGATTTGTGAAAAAAACTTTTCAACCAAAACCTAAACTTCTGTGAATTTTTATTTCTTACTGAAATCGCAAATACATTGCACTGGAAGTTGAAACTCTAAAAACACTCAAATGAAAGTAAGTACTACAAATTTACTCGATTTGTTGAGAAAGCAATGACACGATTAAATTACTTTCCAATACGTCTGTGCTCTTCGACAGGCCTCTTTTATCATTCACAACAAAGATCATCTACATCGATCGTACCAAATTTATCAAAGAGGACTCGAATCGAACTCGATTGTATACCCTTTTGCTTTTGGAAAATCAATCGATTGTGACTTTCTGTCGCCCACCACACAACCATATTAAGACTAGGACGCTTCCATCTAAGTTACAGAGGGAAAAATGACAAGAAAAGTTGTCTCAAGAGCTCGTTCTACTATCGTTTTCCGACGCATTTTCCTCCTTCTCTTCTTTGGCGGGAAACCCTTACCGGCGCGTAGCAGCGGTTCTTTGCTTCAAAAATTTACTGAACATGCGTAGACCAATCGCCTCTCTGCTCATGGTCTCTGAAAACACGAAGAAGAGTACTAGTACCTCCGTACGCCGCTTGCAATCGCGGTACATATAAAAGTACAAAACAGAGCCGAACTTGAACAGCATTTCTAAACCAGAAGTTCCGCAGCTTCTTAAACATTTTTTTTTTGTGGAAACACGACAAAGAGGAAAAGAAAACAAAGGCAAAGAATACGAGCCGGGCTAACTACAGACGTACCGTAATGGTCTCCGAAAATATTTTCTGCAGCGTCCAAGTCTTCATCTTCTAACAACTTTGATATTGAGACTTTTGAAGAAGTTGCTGCCATGCTGTCCGTTAAGAGAAGGGATTTTAAGAGGAAAGGCCTTGGAAAGAAGCCAAATGCAAGTGAACCATTAGAATATCATCAGATTGAGCGAATGTGGTCCTTTGGAGCTATAGGCTTGAAAAATACCCAATCGCTTCTCCGTCTTGGATGATGGAACAATGTAACTCGCCTGGAATGAGAGCATTCAACGAACAGCACATTGTTTGGAAGCTTGGCATATCAACTCCGCCCCACGCTCCTTAAAATCGTGATGATAGCGGCTTACTACCTGACGCCTATTTACACCTCGACAGAAAAAAACGGCAGCTGATTATTGAGCATATAAAAGGGCCTCTTGTTGCAACGATCAGATCACCCCTGATGAATGCACTAGGTAGGAGTGTCGAAAGGTTGGGTCGTTGAATTGTAATTTCGGTTACACTCATTAAATCTCTAAACCGGAGTAGCATCAGACCATGTCTGATGGTCATGGAACACTTGAAATTAGTTTATGTGGGAACATATTATGTAAATAAAAGTTTCAGACTAAAAAAATGTCTCAATTTATTTTAGAGCCTGACTTTCGGAGAGACGAAAAAGCTTATGGAAGGCCTACATCTCGAAGGGAGGACACAAATTTAAAAGTTTATGTCGAAAAGATAATTGAATACTCTGGTATGTATCTCTACATAAGGAAAACGATGAACATTTGATAGGCTGAGACCTACGTTCTTAATTTTCTTGAGTTCTTGTCGTTCCTCACTCTGACATTCCTTTCAGAGATACGTGCAACAACAGAAACAGGGAAGAACTTCAAATTATTTCCATGAGAACGAGGTAGCAAGCCCGAGGAAAGAGGACAAGTTCTCGTTCATTGTTAAGACGAGTTAATCTTCTTAAATTTAATAACAATAATAATAATGCCCTCGGGGGGTGGTCACGGGAGCTGGATGTCATGATGCGCGAGCTGGTGGGAGGCAGAAGCACAGACGTACTGCGAAAGATGCAGAGGGCAGTGCTCTCGGGCACGCTGAATATTGCCCGGACTTTCAAGGTGGCAGTTTGACTTTCTGTTAGAAGGAGGACCGTAGACACAACGGAAAAGCTTTAAAGGATTAGTTAATGTACATTTCTTTTTTTACTTCATGGCTCACAGGTTACGGTTTTCGCCCTGTGCTGCCTGATTAGAATGTAGCATTCAGTTGATTTCTCTGCGACATAATAATTATAACAATACAGCATTTGTTATGCGCAAATTCATGTGGATATGCTCAAATGCGCACAATTTGAAGCTCGGGAAATTTTATTTCCCTTAATTTTTGTGTTTTCGTTGTTTTCCAAGCGCTATTTTCTTTCCACAACTATTCTTTTCTCATTTTTCCGTACATACTACTGTAGGTTCCTTAACACCACTATTGGTGCTGAATACAGTGATTCTGTTTTTGGGAATAACACTCCTGATAATGAGACATTGTAAACATTGGCTAGTGAAGCAATGAAGAAAAAAAAGTGAGGAGAATAGCTTCGTAACAACCACATAAGTATATAGCTCTCAATTCCCTCAGTCTCATCAATTAAATTGCCAAAAATTTACTTACCAACAGAATTCCGCAGGATGCACGAAGGGTCTGACGTTGAACCTGGGATTACCCCAGTACAAGGAGTTCGGAATTTTATCGTCGACGATTTTTTCGAATTTGAAGAAAGAGAATTTCGTCTGGGACGTATGCGGAATTTTTGGAAATCTTCAGAATTTGACGCTCAGAGTGGGAGCTTGATAATCGTCGTGTTCTGCAAATCATTAGAAATACTTGACGCTCTGTGGGATGAATATCGCATTGGCTTCTTAGATATAATGGCACGAGAATATATTGAAACAAAAGAAATTATCGAGGAACTTGGGTTAAAAGACTTGGGAGTTCTGACAAGTATCTCGGGAGAGGAGTACAGAGCTTGTAGGGAATATTTCTTGCATGATCCTGGTAAGTTAAAACGTTTCCTGCAAATAGTTTCTACTTTTAATACTCACGTAGTTTTCTAGCACTTTTTTAATGTAACTGTCTCGTGGATTTAGGTTTAGAACACTTATGAGGCCATCTCTATGATCCGTAAGAGTAAGAATATGAGAGGATTGTGGTAAAAAGTATGCTATACCCAGTGTACTTGTGCCTTTGAGCGTCAGGTCGAGAATCAATTTAAAGTGAGCAACTGTCATGACCCAACCTTCAGTTCAAAATTCCATTGTGCAATTTAAAAAAAAATTATTTCTTTATCCCATCTCATCTCATTATGCATTGGACAGCTGTAGATAATACAATAGAACCTCTCCCTATAATTTCCTGGAAACAGAACAGGAAAATCATAAAAGTGGCATATTTTCATTTTTGTTCACTTTTTAATTTAAGTTCTCCACTAAAAAAATAACGTTCTCGAATAATGTAACAGCCGTGCAGGTGCGTGGCCGAACGGCTTTTTCCTCGGTGACAGCGGACTCACGTCAACCCGTTTGGTCTCACTCATGTCAGCTTTCATGTAGGTTTTCTATGGGATTGCTTGGGTTCAACCCCATGGGTCATTCAATAATTTTGTTTTTCAAGCAGTGGAATATAACTAGGACAAACTTATTTACCCTCTGATTCACAGTTTCTAAAGTAGCAATGCATAAATTACTTAACAAACCTAGAACAATCGAGGAGTTCTGGCCAAACTCCAGTTTCTCACGGAGCTTTTAAACCTGAGTCAGGATCAACAGACATCACGAAGTGTGGATCACAGGTCAGGACAGACAGCGAGCTAGACGACTCACAGCAGCGAGAGGAGATGGAAATAGGTTCTAGTGCCCTGTTAGAAAGCGTAATGGAGTCTACTTCAAACGAATCTGAGAGGTGAGTTTCTTTGATGACGCAAATTTTGTTACTGTCTTCCTCCGAAATCTCAGGTCTGTATATCTTTATATATCTATATACCTCAGGTCTTTGTATCTGACCTGAGGTGTATGTAGAGTTAGCGAAGGATTTCAAGTGTTAGCAGTCAACTACTTTTCAGTAATTTTTCCAATCAACATGTTGCATTCACTGCTCGCCCCTTTCCTAAGCCTTTAATGACATCCCCAAATGCATCAGTCATGAGGGACACCAAAATTACTCTGCGAAATAAGCAGATCTGTCAAAAATTGTCAATGTTCTTTTTTTCTCCATATTCTTAACTCTAATACAATGAAATATATGAAGTTCATATATTTTGAAGTGCGGTGTTAGATATGTATGATGAACGATCCTCGCAGTAGATAGCGCTATTTAAGCAATAGCGAAAATCAGGCCTGTACGGGATTCGAACCACTGACCTCTGCGATACTAGTGCGGCGCTCTACCAATTGAGCTAACAAGCCAACTGGAAGCAGACCATCAAATTAATTCGACATAAACCCGTAGATGACAAATCAAACAACAACAAACATATGAAACATATGTATGAACTGCAGTTATGAAACGTAGATATGCACGATCCTTCGTGCATATATACGATTTTCACTATTGCTCAAATAGTGCTTTACTGCGAAGGATCATGCATATATACGTTTATTTTTTATCTTATTTTTACTTGTACCTTGTGGTCAGAAATATCTGGAAGTTAACTTGCGCGTTTCCTCTCTTTGGCGCTTTCTCAAATTGTCATTTTTTACTTGTGCATGTTTCAGTGCGTTATAAATTTCGTAGGGGAGGGATTTTTGACAGCCTGTTACTGTCTAAGTAATCTTTGTTTCGATTTGTTGGATGTTTTTCGAAACCTGCGATGCTAGATATGGAAAAGAAACTAGATAATTTAGGGTTTGAAGTGATATTCAATCCGCCTGGGCACTGGGATTGCTTCTA